TAGAATAAGCCCGAATGGTCTCAACCATATTGCATCAGTAACGTGCACTTGTTGTTATAACAAGATCGCAAGGACACTGGTAGCGATCGGACAATTTAGTGTTGTTCAGTTTGTGTGTTGTGGAACATGCGTGTGCGTGCATGAAAATATACCACACACCCAATTACAATAGCATGTTCAATTCACTACCCTGGAAGTTAATAAAGTTGTTAAAGTTGGAACAGCCTGTGGACAGCCGTTCTTCCTTGCATGTCAGTCGCCGACACCTTCTTACAGAGGACAGGCAAATCTAGCTGCAGCACGACCCGTATATTTTCGCACGCCGTGTTCTCAACACATATTTTGAAAACATTTTTAACATTTTCAACATCGTGGATACATCCTCATATGCTCCCGGCAACACACCGAACGTCAACTTTGCCTCCTTATTACACTCACCCCTACTTTAGTGGGAACAATGAGTCTGCGTCTTTGATGCACACAGGAATAAACGCAGATCATCCTCTGGCTGCAGCCTTGACCGGCACTTGCTTTTGATCAAAGTCAATGCGGAAAACCTGCACTCACACAGGTAGGTGGAGGTGAAGGGAATGAGCACTTTTACAGCCTTTTTGGCGAGGTGGGGGAACTCGGTCTCCACAGACAGCCAACAGTGGGCAAGTGTCACTTAACTCGTCTTTTTCTCGTTATTTTTTGTCTCACGCTGCGCCTCCCCTGAAGCTCTCTGGCGCCCCCCAGGGGAGGCGCGCCTCACACTTTGAAAACCGCTGGTATAGGGGGTATACACTGAGCCGCAAGCGTGTCGTCTCCAGACAGACCCACTTTGGGAGCCGGCTTCAAAGTTTATCGGTTTCGGGCTCCGAAGCCGCTGCTCCGTTTTGGCTTCGTGTGGACGAACCGTCTATACCAGCGGTTTTCAAAGTGTGTGGCGCGCCTCCCCGGGGGGCGCCAAAGAGCTTCAGGGGAGGTGCAGCGTGAGACAAAAAATAACGCGAAACAGTGAAATGTAGCTAGTTAACTTCAGCTAACTTTATGCGAGCGGCAACATGGATCCATTTTTATTGAAGTGAGAGAGGAGACAGCGTCTGGCAGAAAACGGAGGAAGTATGAACACGATTATTTGAAGCTAGGATTTTCATGGACCGGTCCTGGCAGGGGTGGACTGGCCATCTGTGTGTTCTGGAGAATCACAGAACGGCCGGTCGTCAGCGGGCGCGGCTGTTCTTATGTTCTCTAAGGGGAGGCTCACCTTCCCACACTTTGAAAACCCCTGGTCTATACGATAAAGAACTTTAGCGGATACAACTGCAATCGTCTCCGTGTGGACGGGGCCTAATTGTTGGAGCTTTGTAGGTGTAATGCTTTCCCATTCTTGCTTGATGTACGACTTCAGTTGCTCAGCAGTCCGGGTCTCTGTTGTCGTATTTTGTGCTTCATAATGCGTCCCACATTTTCAATGGAGACAGGTCTGGGGCCTCATTTATAAACGGTGCCTACGCTCAAAAGATGGCGTACGCCAGTTTCTAAGCAATGTTTGCGATTTATAAAAAACAAACTTGACGGGAAAATGTGCGGTCCTCCACGCAAACTCTGACCCATGTGTACGCACAAAAACGGGAGAGAATGTTACCTCTCATTTATCAAATATGAAGAATACATTTTCACAAATTGATTAAAGCCAATCTTAAAATGATTAAACAAACGCCTGTTTGAGACTCCTCAGTGCACACAAAAACATAACTTGGAGAAATAAATAAATACGGAAATGTTAAGATCACCCCTCGATTATGTTCTCTTGTTCAGAAATGTATTCTCATAAATGATGCGGTAAACAGAAGGACAAAATTACTTTAAACTGACGCCATTTTGCATTTCTATAGGTTGAATAGATACGAGCATGGTTTTATATACTATCATGTTTAATCATGTTTTATGCCGTTCGCCAATAGCCTACTTGATAAGTCGCTCGTAAAACACAGGAGGTATGGAAACTAAGAACACCATATGTGGTAAATTGTACAGCTAATATAACTCAAGACATTAGTTTTATTTCCTTTAACTGGTGGATATAGAGTTGCTGCAGGGGGGTTGAGACACACAGGCTGGAGACGCTGCGCACAGCTGATCGATAGCTGGAACACAAACCACCAAATACAAAAAAATAATTCAGATCCAGTCGTCATGACTCCACTCCGGAGGGATTCCCCGATCATTTCTTATAGTTTCTCATCAAGGGGGGTCTCCTGTCCCCGGTACAAACACACTGCCTGAGGGAGGTTATGTGTATTTCTTTTGTCATTAACCTTTTTCGGACCACTTGTTTATTTATTTTGGTGACGATCCGACCTCCATGCTGGTTCAAACTGCATCCACCAAACAATATGATTTATCTCGACCAAAATAACCAAAATCTGACACGGTGTGAGATGTCTTTTTTAGCTGTTCTGTCGTCATTTCCTGCGATCTTCTTCATGCAGTCAGTCTGAATGAATATTAATACGGGACGTTTCTTTGACTTATAGGCAAATATGGGCGTTACGTGAAGCCCGCAAAAGCTGCGCCGCATTTCGAGTTGATTGTGATTTATAAAGGGAAACCGGCGTAGGACGTGCGTGCGCAGTGTTTTATAAATCGGAAAATGTCTGTGTGTATTTATTTGCTTTGTCCTACGTAAGCAACCTTCCCACGTGAATCCTACGCAAGGCTTTAGAAATGAGACCCCTGGACTGTAGGCAGGCCGGTGTAGTACCCCCACTCTTTCACTACGAAGCCACGCTGTTCTAACACGCCCCTGAAAAAGCATATGTTGCTCCAGAACCTGTCTGTACCTTTCAGCATTAATGGGCACTAACACCCCCCCATACCATCACAGATGCTGGCTTTGAACTTTGTGCTGATAACAATCTGGATGGTCCTTTTCTTCTTTAGCCGAAGGACACAACGTCCATGATTTCCAAAAACAATTAGGAATGTGGACTCATCAGACCACAGCACACTTCTCCACTCTGTGTCAGTCCATCTCCGATGAGCTCGGCCCAGAGGAGCCGGCGGAGTTGCTTGTGAACGACTGAGCCTTTCGGGGATGCCCCTTTTATACCCAGTCATGCCTCACCTGTTTCCAGTTAACCTGTTCACCTGTGGAATGTTCCAAACTGGTGTTTTTTTCTCAACTTTTGTTGCCCCTGTCCCAGCTTTTTTGGAACGTGTTGCAGGCATTAAATTCAAAATGACTTTTCAAAAGAAATCTAACCTTTATCAATTTGAACATTACATATGTTGTCTTTGTACTGTTTTCAATTGAATATAGGTCGAAAGGGATTTGCAAATCATCGTATTCTGTTTTTATTTACGTTTTAAACCACGTTCCAACTTCATTGACATTGGGGTTTGTACTTGTTTTGCTAATTTTGTGTTGATATGTCTCTTGTAACGGTCAAATCAATTTGTTAACAATTAACATATTTGAAATAACAGTCATTTTACACTGAAGGTGTGTCCCCGCAACATGTGTGCAACCCTGTTATCATTACCTATTAGGCTTGGCAGAAGAAGTGAGGACACTGTAAGTCACATGACACAGAGGAAATTACATCATCAAGCCATGTGCTTCTGCCATGGGTAGACCAAAGGTCAGCCCTCTTTTTCAGATGTATCTGATCCTTTCATTCTAGAACAAGTGTGGCACTCTAACCTACTCAATTGTGTTACTCATTTTATCAGATTGGGGGATTAATTCTTTCTTTAGTCAAATATCTAAGTTAGTCCTTTCCTTGAAAGTTACATTACATTCTGCCGCTAGCATTCATTCCTGAGGTAAAAGCTAACATTAGCATTGATTTGCAAACCTGTTACTATAAATAGAGTCATTAGTTACAGAGTTGCATTTCCTGAAATTCAATTTATTATCCTTAGTAGAATGTTATGTTTATATATAATTAAGCAAAATCTACTTGTTTTAAATGTATTACTGTATTTTCCCAGAATATGTATTGTTTTTTTTGTTATAGATACCAGGGAGCCTAAGCATGTTAAGATGAACCCTTTAATCCCCCTATTATACTCTCTTACAACAACATACAGGGTTCTTACACCTTTTCCAAAGTCAAATTCAAGCACTTTTCAAGCATTTTCAAGGTGCATTTTCAAGCTTTTCAAGCATCTTACAGCTGTTGTAAATTACATATTTATATACACATACTTATACTCAAATGATTATTTCCCTACCTCACATTAAATCAGATGTTCTTTATGCTATAAACAACCAAATGTGTGTTTCATAATAGCATTCTACATGATGAACAATTTAAATTTTTAGAAAAGAAAACTAAGTTTAATATTTCAAAATGAGTGACCCATCTGTACGTAGACTGGGCATCCCATATAACCTGGCTGAGCCAATATAAAACAATCAGCCAAATAACTTTTCAATACATTATTGATTACTATTTTTGAGGTACTTTTAGGTTGGCAGTAAACACAAGTCAGAGGTAAATGGTTTACTTTTACTCCACTACATGTATTTAATACCTTTAGTTACTTTACAGATGTGGATGAATGATGTGAAATATAATCAAGTGTTAAATCAGACTTTAGTTCCACCTGGAGTAAATTCACAAGCTACCCTGCAGTATACAAAGTCATTCAAACTAGCTGCACCTTTACCAGCTTTGATAACACTTTAATGATCAATTATTATAAAACGTATCATATACAATTATTAGGGATGCTCCGATCGCCAATTTTGGGGCCGATCGCCGGTGTTATGCCGTAGATTGAAGCCTTGCCGTAGATTGAAGCCCTGTTCGCGGGGACGAGCAAAGTGACGTCATCGCCTGTATTGAGCGTTCGCCTCGTTTTCTAAGCGGGAAAAACGAAAGATACTATTTACTTTCTCTCTTTTGAATGATATATTTCCCATCAGATTAAACAGCAAACGGCTGAATAAATAATGTGCATACAAATTGCGTGGAGGCTCGTTTTAAGGACACTTTTCAGATCTGTCACAATCTTCGTATTGGAACAAACTTCCGTTTTTGAGTCCACTCTGTTATGTTCCTCCTTCCTACAGAACAGACAATGACAGGATAATATGTCATTTGTCAGTATAGTCCTATTTTTTAAAACCTTCTCTGTTGTTTAAGTGTCTGATAACTTTTTCCTCTGTGGTTTCCTACTCAACACATGTTTGTATTGTAATGCCACTCATTTTTAATTTTTTATTGTATTTTAAGGTGACATTGAATGCTTTGAAAGGTGCCCTAAAATAAAGTGTATTATTGATCTTATATCTGTGCCTATATCACACTATTAATGTTCCTTATTTTAGACTAGGTTAATCCTGGTGTCAATAGGGAAGATCTGCACTGTTCTCTCCATAACATGTTCAGCAGAGCAGGTATTTCTCCTGCCAGATTTGGAACCCCCCCTATCATTTTGTCCAGGATGGTCATACACTCACCAAAATCACACTGGTGTTTGCTGTTCCCCTCTAGTTTGTGCTCGCAAAAGCATTTTACTCTGGGCCCAGCAGGTGAAAAACTAAAGAGGGGCTTCCAAATCCGGCAGACTAGGTGCTGCCAGATATGGCACCCCCCCTACAACTTTGTCCAGGACAGTCACACTGTCACCAAAATCACACTGGTGTTTGCTGTTCCCCTCTAGTTTGTGCTCGCAAAAGCATTTTACTCTGGGCCCAGCAGGTAAAAAACTGAAGAGGGGCTTCCATATCCGGCAGACCAGGTGTTGTAGCTGCCGGATTTGGAAGCCCCCCTATATCTTTATCCAGGATAATCACAACTTCACCAAAATCCTACTGGTGTTGCCTGTTCCCCTCTAGTTTGTGCTCACAAAAGCATGTTACTCTGGGACCAGCAGGTGAAAAATTATAGGGGGGCTTCCATATCCGGCAGCCAGCCACAACACCTTCTCTGCCGGATATGGAAGCCCCTCTTTAGTTTTGTACCTGCTGGGCCCAGAGTAAAATGCTTTGGTGAGCACAAACTAGAGGGGAACAGGCAACACCAGTAGGATTTTGGTGAAGTTGTGACTATCCTGGATAAAGATATAGGGGGGCTTCCAAATCCGGCAGCTACAACACCTGGTCTGCCGGATATGGAAGCCCCTCTTCAGTTTTTTACCTGCTGGGCCCAGAGTAAAATGCTTTTGCGAGCACAAACTAGAGGGGAACAGCAAACACCAGTGTGATTTTGGTGACAGTGTGACTGTCCTGGACAAAGTTGTAGGGGGGGTGCCATATCTGGCAGCACCTGGTCTGCCGGATTTGGAAGCCCCTCTTTAGTTTTTCACCTGCTGGGCCCAGAGTAAAATGCTTTTGCGAGCACAAACTAGAGGGGAACAGCAAACACCAGTGTGATTTTGGTGAGTGTATGACCATCCTGGACAAAATGATAGGGGGGGTTCCAAATCTGGCAGGAGAAATACCTGCTCTGCTGAACATGTTATGGAGAGAACAGTGCAGATCTTCCCTATTGACACCAGGATTAACCTAGTCTAAAATAAGGAACATTAATAGTGTGATATAGGCACAGATATAAGATCAATAATACACTTTATTTTAGGGCACCTTTCAAAGCATTCAATGTCACCTTAAAATACAATAAAAAATAAAAAATTAGTGGCATTACAATACAAACATGTGTTGAGTAGGAAACCACAGAGGAAAAAGTTATCAGACACTTAAACAACAGAGAAGGTTTTAAAAAATAGGACTATACTGACAAATGACATATTATCCTGTCATTGTCTGTTCTGTAGGAAGGAGGAACATAACAGAGTGGACTCAAAAACGGAAGTTTGTTCCAATATGAAGATTGTGACAGATCTGAAAAGTGTCCTTAAAACGAGCCTCCACGCAATTTGTATGCACATTATTTATTCAGCCATTTGCTGTTTAATCTGATGGGAAATATATCATTCAAAAGAGAAAAAGTAAATAGTATCTTTCGTTTTTCCGTTTAGAAAACGAGGCGAACGCTCAATACAGGCGATGACGTCACTTTGCTCGTCCCCGCGAACAGGGCTTCAATCTACGGCAAGGCTTCAATCTACGGCATAACACCGGAATCAGCTTGTTCCAGAGGTAGATAAAATAGCTAAGTGTGTTAGGTCTAACTCTTAATGTGTGTTCTGCTCCGCTCACCGGTCCGTCACAGCGGGTGGAGCTGCAGGATTTCTGCTTCACACACACGTTGCATACCGCTATTTTATTGTCATTTTCGGACACTTAAAATACTGCCAGACTAGTGAAGCCATTTTGGCGAGCTTGTTTTGCCGCGCACAGAGAAAAGTGTCATGTATTTTACATGCAACGATAGCCTAATCTAAAATGCTCTACTACCGCATACCTTTCGTGTGGTGTGTGGCTCGTCAGCGCAGACTCTCGCATCGTTATTGTTGCACACTTTGCAGGAGGCTACTCTTGGGCTTCGCTTGACCCTCGTCTTAGCCATGGCTTGTATTTGTCTTCTGCTAGCCAACGCTCGTTGAAACGGCAACCTCCTGGCATACTGTCATCTTTCACTCTCATCAGAATGCCCAGGTCACACACGTAACAAAAACACTTGCCGGTCACGCGCATTGCGCGGGAAGGCCGGAGCGGAGCTGTTTTATGTAAAAGCGAAGCAATTAAGCGCGCTCCGACTTCTTTATTTTCTTTTAATCTAAAAAGCGAAGTAAAGCATTTACAATTTCAAGCACTTTATCCCAAATTCAAGCACCATTCCCAAAATTCAAGCACTTTTCAAACCTTGAAAACACCTCGTACAATTTCAAGCATTTTCAAGGATTTCCAGCACCCGTACGCACCCTGAACATATTATAGGTCTCAGATATATACAAAACATGTCTATGAAGTGTTTTGCTCAAAATACCAAACAGATCACCCATTCTAGCTATGCCTCATACCCCTCTATATCAGCCCTGTTAGAGAACTGCTGATTCTGGGTCTGTAGCTTTAACAAAAAAAAAAAGAGAGCAGAGTTCAAGATTCTCAGCCAAATGCTGCCGTGATTAAACGCCATATTATGTTCCAAACCACATCAAGCATTATTTCTGAAACAGTATAGAGCTCAAACTCTTTCTCTCTCGCGGGTTTACCACAAGGACAGTACCTTATATATCTGGATTCTTTACACATATTCTCTCCAGTACAGCGTTAGCTCTGAGTGTTAGCGATGCTTGCTAATGTAAACACAGACCATATTACTTCCAAAGCACCTCACTAATTGTTTCTGATACAGCAACGTTTCTGTTAGGGGACGATAGGTTGGGGCGGAACGCTGCCAGGAGTTCAACGTAAAGCCAGCCTACATTTTTAGTAATGTTGTCATGACCGCAGCAAATCTGGATCAGCTCCGTTGTACCCCCGTTTTTAGAGATGTGGGTAGGGAGGACAAGAGACTTTGTGAGTCTCCTTTCACACCGGGGACAAATATTTATGTATAAAAGACATGAAAAAGTGCATTTTGCATAATAGGTGACCTTTACAACCAATTTTTTCCAAATACATAACAGAACATTTGAAAATAAAGGGGTCATTTTTCAAAAATGTTAATGTCTACAGGTGCTCCAATTCTGGAATGCCCCACATACAGTATCTGTCACGCCAATCGGTTGCCTTGATAAATCAACCACTTCTTCGACAATTATTTTACTGAGAGCTTCAACAACTATGACCAGGGAAACCAAAAGATGCGGTTGTCCAAAGTTCTTTTCATCTGTTTGTTTGACAAATACATTGAAATAGAAAAAATGTATTCAGGTTGGAAGTGTATGCGTACCTTCAAATGCCATCAGATACCCTGTAAGAGGACCAAAAGAAAACTCCAATCAACTCGATATATATGCGACAGGTGAAATTCTGCTAAGCTTCTTGAGTATATCAGAATGTTGAGGCATGAGACCATTCTCACCATAATCAGGGCGGGTGGAGATGGGGCCTGAGCTGACGGTGGCCATGTCGCTCACTGAGGTGTCCTGGGTGGTGCTGCGGCGCCTCCTTGAGGTGGTGTCAGCGGTGCAGTTCTGCAGGTGAAACAAGTGATTGTTTTTTTTTGTAAAGGACAGTTAAGAAATGAAGAGCCTTAATTTGAGATGTAGCAGTGAAGTGAAGAACATTGCCAAGACAGCTTTCCATAACATACACCAACTACTGTCTATTGAAGCGTTGTATTTAGATACACAGCATTATATCATTTGTGCTGCCCAGTATATCAAGCCAGTATGTCCTGCATTTTGATTTCATGCTGGTTTCCCCGTTAACGTTAACCATACTGTAGTTGCCATATTGTAAATGTGGTCATTGAATGGAGAGCAGGGTGTTGTGGGATCAGACTTGTGGTCTGGGGGGAAGGTGTGTGTATGTGTGGTCTGGGGCAAGGTGTGTGTGTGTGGCAGGTCTGACCAGAGTGAGCTGAGGGCAGAAGGAGTGGACACAGAGCCGGGTGGCACAGTGCACGTAGTAGGTGGAGAGGGGGGTAGCCTCCGCGCTCTGGACGAAGCGGAAAGCCTCGAAGGAGAAGCGGGCTTCCTGATGCACTCCGTTCACTTCCAGCAATGTCTGGGAATCCCGGTTACACCTTGAAGAGGACAGATGGGGATAATTTGTCCTGTTTCCAGGTTCTTTTACCACTAAAACATGTTGATAATATTACGCTTCTCCTTTTAAATTACACTACCAGTCAAAAGTTTGGACACACCTTCTCATTCAATGGTTTTTGTTTATTTTAATGTTGTTCTACTTTGTAAATTAATACTGAAGACATCAAAACTATGAAAGAACACATATGGAATGATCTAGTTAACAAAAAAGTGTATGAGAATATAATTTTTATTTGAGATTCTTCTTAGTAGCCCCCTTTTGCCTTGATGACAGCTTTCCACACTTCTCTCATTCAGCTTCATGAGGTCGTCACCTGGAATGGTTTTCAAATAACACGTGTGCCTTGTCAAGAGTCAATTTGTGGAATGTCTTGCCTTCTTCATGTGTTTGAGGCCATCAGTTGTGTTGTGCAGAGGTAGAGTTAGTGCACAGTGGAAAGCCCTATTTGAATACTGTTGTAATCCATATTATGGCAAGAACCAACTCAGTGAAGAGAAACGACCGTCCATCATCACTTTAAGAAATGAAGGCCAGTCGATCCGGAAAATGTCAAGAACTTTGAATGTATCCTGAAGTGCAGTCGCAAAAACCATTGAACGCTATGATGAAACTGGCTCTCATGAGGGAAAGGAAGACCAAGAGACACCTCTGCTGCAGAGGATAAATACATCAGTTACCAGCCTCAGAAACCACAAATGAAAGCACCTCAGATTAGAGCCCACATAAATGATCAGAGCTCAAGTAGCAGACAATCTCAACATCCACTGTTCAGAGGAGACTGCGTGAATCAGGACTTCATGGTCCAATCGCTGCAAAGATCCACTACTGAGGATGAACAACAAGAAGAAGAGAATTGTTTGGGCCGAGAAACACAAGGATTGGACATTAGACAGTGGAAATCTGTACTTTGGTCTGATTAGTCCAAATTTGAGATTTTTGGTTCAAACCTCTGTGTCTTTGTGAGACGCAGAGAAGGTGAGCGGATGGTTTCTGCATGTGTGGTTCCCACCGTGAAGCATGGAGGAGGAAGTGTGATGGTGTGGGGGGACTTTGCTGGTGACACTCTTGGTGATTTATTCAGAATTCAAGGCTCACTTAACCAGCATGGCTACCACAGCATTCTGCAGTAGCCAGCTAAATATAAATCATATTCTGGATTTTTTATCACTTTTTGTTTACTAGATAATTCCATATGTGTTCTTTCATAATTTTGATGTCTTCAGTATAAATCTACAATGTAGAAAACATTTAAATAAATAAAAAACTTCGAATGAGAAGGTGTGTCCAAACCTTTGACTGGTACATACTATGGGAACACTAATAGTCTAATACAGAGGTCTTCAACCTCCGCGACCCCTAGGGGGCTTGCAGAATTGTTCGTTGATTAGACAAAAAAAATGTTCCCCTTTTTTTTCAACCAATTTATTTCCCACAAATGTAAATGTCTTGAAATACACATTAACTTGAGTCCTACATATTGTAGCAACGGATAAATGGAGGCACAAGATGTTATCTTTCACCTTTTCAGTCCCCAGCTGACTCAGATCCCAGATACAAGGACATAGCTGCAATATTATTGAAAATAATATTTTTGGAGAAAAATGTATCGTTCGTAACTTAGACATGTAAGGTTCAGACATCTCACTAATGTCGGAGTAGGTGTTCCATCCACAGATGGCTTGAGGATTCACTGTCCGTTCTACATGTATGTTTAGAATAAAAACATTAACCTGTGAATTATTTGAATAGTTAAGTGTTGTATGCAAGATTTATGTTTATATTTGGCAGTGGCACTGCCAACCTTTCACATGTTTAAAATAAAAACATGAATATATGAACCTGTGTATTAATTGAATAGCTATTGAATGCACAATAACAGGGTAGCTATGTTTATACAAGACACTAGGCGCAGTTTAAAGGTCCCATGTCATGGCCATTTCTACTGATCATAATTCCATTGTTGAGGTCTACTAGAATAGATTTATATTGTGCAATTTTCCAAACTCACATTGATTTCTCATACAGCATCTCTGTATAGTATGTGTATTCACCAAGCGGCAAACTCTGGGGAAGAGCCGGGACGCCAATACGGAAGTGCCACAAACTTCATATATTGGCCGATAGGCGATGACTGCAGAAAGGAGCAATTTCCATAGACCCCCATGTTAAAATGCCCAACTTTACAGCAGAAATAAACATGTTTCTACCCCTGGATGCTATAAATATGATTATGGATATAGTTAGATTCCACCTTCATGATTATGAATCTGTGAGTGAATTGTTTTCTAACGCGACCCTTTTATTTATATTAAGTCTTAAAGTCTTTGCATAAATTAGGGCGTGGTCACTTTGATGGACAGGTACGTGCCTCACTGTCAGCTAACATCAACTTGTCCACTCTGCTAGGCTACAACGTTAGTTAGTTGTAGTTACTGTACTTGACCCTTTAGCCGTGTTCGTGGTGATTGTGCCTTTTAGGGAATATTGTTACAAATACCAGACAATTCAAATGTCGTGCTGTGCGCTTGAATGTACTAACAGAACTTCCAAGAAGTCTAAAATGATAATATTATACATGTTAACCCCGTTAGCAGGTGTTTGTGTGCTTGTTAGCTTAGCTTGTTATGTAGCTTATTAGCCAGCTAAGGACGTAACCCTTTATACATGTATACATATATATATATACAGTTTAGTTTATGATTCAGCCTTGGGTAAGACTTTTGTAGTATATGGCTATGACGCCCATAATGCTAAACGGGAGCAAATGTTAAAAGGGGACCGAATTATCCCAGTGGTGGCCGCCGGAGCTAAGGGAGCCGCAGGGGGCTAGCTCCAGCCGGCGTCCAGCTCCAGCCGGCGTCCAGCTCCAGCATAAGGCGCGTTCACACCAAGTACTTTTCCCACAATAGTTCATGAGAACTTTAGTTCATGAGAGTTCTTTTAGTTCTGATGAACTAAAGCAGATCGCGTTCACACCAAAATGAGTTCCTGGGGGTGGATTAGGCAAATGAGCCGCTGACGTCACTTCTTCTTCTTCTGCTTTGGGTTTACTGGCAGGCCGCAAACAACTTCACGGCGAGTACAGTAGGTGGCGGTATGCACCTTAAAGTTGCAATTCGCCAAAAAACCGAGAGAAGAAGAAGAAAAAAAACTTCCGCTTCCGCTGTATGCTTCTGTTTACCTTCCGACCTCAGACACGGTATGGAGTTGACGTTTTGGTGCTCGTGTTATACAGCTTCGTAACTGAGTTATTTAAGCCAATAACTCAGCCACAAATACAAATACAAATCGACCATTCAAATGCAATAGAAATGCTGAGTCGGAGGCGAAGGCGGTTAAGAAGCCTTAACAAAAGGATTGGACCACGAAAAGCACACGCTATGGACATGTTTCGCCGTAGGACAGCTGAGGATGATGACCGTTATCACGCCCAAAGAACAGCAATGGTACGTTCATTAAATCACATTAATACTATCTAATGTAGGATTTATGGAGTTATGTAGGGCTAATTTGTGTCTTTGTATGTGTTCCAGATATGCGAATACTACGGAACGTGTCGTGTCCCGCGCTCTCTCTGGGTGAACAATAGAACATCGGCCTGGTGGGAGAAGGTGGTGCCAACGTACACCAATGTGCAGTGGATCAAAGATTTCCGAATGTCCAAGGGCTCTTTTCAACTCCTCTGTATTCGCCTGGAAGCAACGTTGGGGAGACGCAACCTAAAAAAATCGCCGCGTGGCAAGACACGCGCACAGCCCTTATGAGGCATCTGAACAGCATGGAAATTGTAAATTGACAATAAAGCTGATCTTTTGTACAGTGCATTTGGTTCTCTCTTTTATTTACCACAGTCAACAGACACAATTACAATAGTGCAGACACATCTTAGTGCAAAGATTAAATGTCAGTATCAAAACAGTACTCACACTGTATATTTGTATATTATTATGTTAAATGTGTGTTAAAGACAATGGGATGAGGTTGAAAGCTCTTTAAAAAGCTTTTGTATACCATCTTTACTGTGATAAATACATACATGTTAAGCATACACACCTGAAGAACTACGTTACACACACACAGGTTAGTCTGTGTACCGCTGCACTGCTGCTGGTTTAAACAAAGACAGTCATGATGCTAGTGCCGTGCATGTAGGTTCTCTTTTATTTATCAGCAGCAGATCAATAAGTGTCAGTAGTATCAAAACAATATAATAACAGTGGCAATATATATATATATATATATATATAATAACAATAGGTAGGCTCAGCAGCAGACACACCTTGTTGCGTGAGACATTATATTCAGCAGAAATCTCCACGTTTGCAGTCAACCAAAGTAGTTTGTAAGTATGCTACGGACAGAAAACACACACGACCACATCGCTCAGAGTTTGGCCTGGAGTACGGACCGTTTATTGAATCTGCGCATGCTCATTAGCATGACCACGTTTCTTTCACTCAGGCACATTCTGATGATGTCATACACATGAACTGAAACATGACTTTGTTCTTATACAAATATGCTTAACACACCTTAGTGCAAAGTTAGGTGTCAGTATTAATAACAGTGGCATATATATATATATAATCACAATAATACAAAATTAACTGTCCCAGGTGTAGGCAATTTGGGGTGAAGTGTCTTGCCCAGGGACACAACGACATCCTGACTGCAGTGGGGTTTGAACCTGTGCTCCCCTGATCCGAACACCAACGCACCAGACCACTGCACCACACACCTCCCAACAAGTCATTGTACAGTTTATCAACGACGACAAGTTTTTCTTAATTTTTGTATTGAAGGCCTGTTGGATTTAATCAGCTCGCTTAGCACTGCCAGAAGCCCAGCCTGAAAGGTATTTTGTTGCTCCACCTCGATTCCTGGGCCTTGTGTGAATGCAGCAGCCGTTCGTCGTGCATCTCCTTGGCACGCAGGTCCTCATTCTCCTTGCTGACCATGGCACGGCGGTCCATCGCCATGATGGTGTCAAGGAAGCTGTCATCCCGTGCCTGCTTTCCTAAGGTGAAATATGCAAGATACAAGATCAGTTTAATCGCAACGAGACAACATTGTCCAACATTGGACATGGTGCAGGCAGGGACAGTGTACAAAATGCAGGTGTAAAGTAGAAGATAAGATAGGATCAAATAATATCAAATAAAAAATAAATATCAAAGTGCCCTTATTTATTGTTTTGTGCTTAATGTAAGCTTGAACTTTGTTTTATAGGGATTAGTGGACATCAGTTAGATGTGTAACCTTCTTTCAAGGCCAGAGTAGTTACAGTGTAAGTGGATTGACATCTAACATAACATGGCTGAGTACAATCATAACAATCAATAAAAAAAAGGAAAAATAATTAGAATTTCAATTACATTTCTACTTAAATGTGCAAAGATATTAGAACATCAGTCTTTGTGGCATGCAGGTAATTAACTGTTTAAGCTTTTACCATTAACATGTAGAATGAATGTTGCAAATGACTTGAAATTATAGCAACTACAATGTATTGTTAGAGGTAGCATTATGTCCAGCTAGCATGCTAATTGCTAACGTTATATTATCGTTTTATCCCGGAGGGGAAAACTAGTTTCTAATCCTGAGAGAAACACCTCACCTGAAACACACGATTAGTGCCATGAATTAGTGAAGCAAATTACAGAACATTGCACACTTATTCACAAGTCAAAACGTGTTCATAACGGGCACGGCTGAGAATAGCTAGCTAGCTAGATGTTGTTAGCCAGCTTGGACCTAACGTTAGCAAGTTCTAGCATGGCTAGCTCGATCTACTGAGCAAATAAAAGTACATCTAAGACCAGATTAAAACAGTGCAGTGCATGTATTTTATTATTTTATTTTACCTTCGTAGTCGTCCCGACATGACTTTGCCAGGTCTGCTAACTTTGCTGAGCCACGGAAACTGCATTCAGTAGAAGCTTCTGAATGCGGCGCTTCGCGTCCTCCGATGATTTATTTAGTGTTGCTATAATAACTGCTTTCACAAAAGTAATCTCTTCGGGTGCGCTGGCCGAAGAGCAAATGCAATGGCCGCTTACAAAAAAAAATTCAGAGTCAAACGGGCGTGGTTTGCATTCCGCACAGCCAATCAGACGTATGAACTATTTTCTCCCACAACAGTCCCTGTTCTCTAGCAGGGACTGAAAAGCGGGTCAGATGAACTAATTTGAACTACTTTAGTTCCTGGGGCTTTTTGGTGTGAACGCAAATATATTGTAGTTCTGATGAACTATTGTGGGAAAAGTACTCCAAAGTACTCCGGTGTGAACGCGCCTATAGAAAGGTATTTTCTGTGTTAGAGTTTTACTCGCTACAGGGTGTACTTTGAGGGTATTTGACTCTGCAGACCGTTTACATGCATAAAAACCTTCATAACACACAAGGGGACGGGTAATAACCAGAAAAGCATGACATGGGACCTTTAATATAACACACAATGTTATACAATATATATAATAGGGGGTCCCTGCTCCATCTCTCCATCAGTTTGGGGGTCCTTGGCCTGAAAAACGTTGAAGCCCCGGGTCTTGCATTTTGTAAATTGAGACATTTAAATTACTGTGGATGGAAATATTATAAACAATCAACACCATAGCACCCTTGCATTTATGTGAGTGGCAATGGACATTGTTTTGCTTGACTTTATTAGAAATGTTGATTTCAGAATGTAAAAACTAAATGTGGCCCCCCTGTGTCGCCGACGGCTTCGGATGGAAGGTGCCAGCACTAGTTCCAAAATACACTGGATGACCATTGTGCTTTCATTTGCATAAAGCTTAGTGGTTGTGTCAGTTGTGAGGTAGAGACCACGTTTAATAAATAAGTTACATTTTAAAACTTTAAGGTTGTCTTCTGCCACTTTAATATAGACCATTGGATGGAGCTCAATGTTCAGAAACAGTATTTATTCCTTATACTAAAGCTTTCTATTTTTCTCTCGACCTGAGTCACGTTGTTTCATCTGTCATCTGGCGGCCGTTAACTCACCCAACGAAGAGATCGTAATATGTGGCGTCGGCGTGAAAAGGCGAGGTTGTGGCGTAACATCGGTCGAGGAGCACGTTGAATCTGTTCGGAGGAGTTTTGAGCACATAAATGGAAAATTAATAAATATTGACATATTTTACCATTTTCTTGGTGATTATAACGGGGCTGAAGAATATTTGCTGTGGCGCAGGTTTTAAAATGTACTTTTTGATTTGATAATCCATACACACCACTGAAAGCAAAACAAATGTTTATGTCAGTATGTTCTTTATCGGGCAACATTTACGGATATACAAAGAGTTACCTCAGATGCTAAACTTGTGTAAAGTAGGCTACCTGTCAGTCAGGTTGGACGCCTTCACTTCTACAAAGATCCTGGTCTTCAGCTCCAGGCCGCCCGAAGGCATCTGCAGCGAGGAGGAGTATCCGCTGTCCTAAGTTCAGCCCAACAACAGAGGAGAGGCTGTTTGGATTGATGTGTCATTTGAACAGTGCTAGTATCACTTCAAAACTGCTCATCCTTCCACACCAGTGAAGGGCAACAGAAAGGATTTGTCTGGACTACATGATGCAGAACCCCAACAGTAGCATTTCTATAGAATATCCTTTTTATCTTGCAGTTCATGAGAGAGGAGGTTAAGCAAAAAATGCAGCAACGGTTCCAATTTAATCCAACAAGGCATCACTTATATTAATTATTGGTATATAACAAGTTATTAAAGTTATGTTTTAGGTTACACAAATAAAAAAAGATGATGTTATAAATCAGATAGCCGAGGTAAACTCTTAATATCATCTCCAAAACAAAGCTCCATCATCACTCTCCAATAGTTTCATGAAACTGTCGCTCCGATGTGCTGGTGGGGGGGGCTGTTTCACCTGTTCAGGCACAGAGTGGTACTGCAGCACGTGAAGAAGAGGACTTCACGTAAAAATGATAATACGTTTAGAAACAGGTCTGTGATGTATGAGGGAAAAGTTCAGGAACACCATAGTAACCACTCCTCCGAGCTGCTTTCCCCTTCTGTCACACAACGTGGTGACTTGTGAGAAGAAAGGAGAATATTTAGAAAGAGCTATGCTTTTTATTTACCATTAAATAAGTTGGTGGGACTAGAAAGATCCATTTGAAACGTAAATGAAAACAGAATACAATGATTTGCAAAATTGAATACTTGGCAAATATTCACTAATTTTTTACGTTCCAAAAAAGCTGGGACAGGGGCATGTTACCAGAGTGTTACATCACCTTCCCTCTATCAATTGCACGATGAGAAACTTTGTTCTTAAACTGTGACCCTCGCCCACCCTTGCTTGTGAACGACTGAGTCTTTCGGGGATGCCCCTTTTATACCCAGTCATGCCTCACCTGTTTCCAGTTAACCTGTTCACCTGTGGAATGTTCCAAACTGGAGTTTTTTCAGCATTCCTCAACTTTCCCAGTCTTTTGTTGCCCCTGTCCCAGCTTTTTTGGAACGTGTTGCAGGCATCAAATTCAAAATGAGTGAATATTTGCAAAAAATACTAAAGTTTGAACATGACATGTGTTGTCTTTGTACTGTATTCAATTGAATATAGGTCGAAAAGGATTTGCAAATCATTGTATTCTGTTTTTATTTACGTTTTACACTACGTCCCAACTTCATTGGAATTGGGTTTGTAGAATCTGTCACCGAAGTTTATTTGGCAACCCATTTTGGCCTGTTTTAAATATTTTTAGTTTTACATCCGTCTGAGAGAATGATGTTGTCCGCAATTCGATGTGCAGGAGCGGAGGGACAGCTCCCTATGCACGGAGAGTATTCACATCCAGATCGCAGTGATTGTTTTTCACAAAAAACAGCTTCACTCCTCTTACCGAGAAGAGTCTCATGCTCAGCGTGCTGATGAAACTCCCATTATTGTCTTTCACTGCCAGGTTGACCCCATACCTGTGGGACAAAAAGCTCGGTCAGCAGCAGGTAATCTCTACGGGAAAAACCAGGTCCTTTTCCACATGATACCTGAGGGACACACTGAGGTGATTCAAACCCTGCAACAAACACCTCTGAGGACAACCACGCAACATAATACTTTCTTAGATGTAGTCAATCTGAGCTGAGAAATATATTTTAACTAGGGCTGTCAGTCGATTAAAACATTTAATCGCACATTTTTTATCTGTTCTAAATGTACCTTAGAGGAATATTTTTCAAGTTTTTAATACTCTTATCAACGCGGACAGACGCGAATTCGCTCCGACGGCGCGCATGAAGCGGTGGACGCGGCGCGAATCACGCGATTGAGGCGATTGAACCAACACAGTCTCACGGCATTTCGTGTTATAGTCACGAAATGAATCTATTGATTCGTGTTCACCAACACGATTTCGCCATTTTTTTCGTGTCACACAGAACGATTTTAAAAGCAATGTAAATAATAACAAATTAGAAGGAAAAACACATTTAAAAAAATACAGATTTAACTATTCTGACACAGAACGATTTTAGAAGCAATGTATTTATATTGGTAGTATGTTTCGTGCCTGCACCAAATAATAACAAATTAGAAGGAAAAAAAGATGACATAAAATACAGATTTCAGTATTCTGAGGCTCTGAGCCCCATTTCTTTTCCTCACTGACGGCAAAAAAACTCAGACATTATACAATTTAAAATAAAAGGGATAGGGTTAGGGTTAGGGTAAGATATTGAGTAAGAACATGTTTTTATGAACCACACAGCTTCTGGTCTTCCAAGACCCGACCGGACAAAAAGACGTGTTGCAGGCACGAAACATACTACCAATAGAAATACATTGCATTTAAAATCGTTCTGTGTGACACGAAAAAAATGTGAAAATCGTGTTGGTGAACACGAATCAATAGATTAAATTAATTTCGTGACTAATAACACGAAATGCCGTGAGACTGGGTTGATTGAACGGTGCCGCGTTAAACGCAAGAGTTCAATTTTTTCAACTCGAGCGTCAAATTCACGTGAGGCGTTCTCGCGGAAGCCAATCAGCGGTGAGGATCTCAGCCTGCCGTCACTGACGTTCAACCACACAACATCAGCCGTTAGCTGTTAGCAGTTAGCACACAGAGCTCACAGCTCCTCATATCTGTTCAGAAACTGGACAAAAGTTAAACAAGTACAAACCACAGACTGTCTGTGTCATGGCGAATACAGTCGCTAGTTTATTTATGTCTGTAGGCCGTTGTTATGAGTGAGGAATGAGCATATACAACGTTAGCTTAGCCTGGTCGACCCGATCTTCATTCAGAAAACAAGCATTTTAAAAGATGTTTCGCCTGCCGTCTTGTCTGCAGACTTGTCAAGCATTAATTCATGGTTTTTACTAACCGGTATCAGTATGTTGTTACTTCGGCATCATTTAGAAACGTGTATTACAATTTAATCACGGTAAAATATGTTAATTTTGTTGTAGTTGTAGCTCCCGAGCCAGCGCGTCTTGTTTGAATGATGCGAGTAAACACAGCTGGCAGCTGCCGTGAAACTCCAGCGTTTAGAGCGATGCGATAGGAGCGATTAGAGCGAAGCGAATATTCGCATCGCGTCCGGTGTGAACGCAGCATTACACTCTCTCCCTACTGTGTACTTCTTTGCACTGAGCCAGTTGCTCAAACAGACACGCCTCTTTATAGTTGTCGGCGAAATGCCGCTCCTCTGTCTTCATAACAGTCAAAGCATGAGACTGAAGTTCCCACTGTGGGTCAAAATAATGCGCTGTGATGTGCAGTCGACACGTCGGATGCGATCCGAATGATCTAACGCAGCCCCTCGTCCTCCACAATGTTAAGCTGTAGCCACCCATTTAGCTATCGCTGTTATTGTCCAGGCGTCTCCCCGGCAAACTTTTAAGCGTGGTCTGCCGCAAGCGAGCGGCAGGAGCGGGGCTGTCAGCATCAGCTGTGAGCTTGGCTTGCTGTTTAAAACACCTTTTTTTGTATCCATATCTCTCGCTAGAATCTCCCACCATCCAACTAACAACAACAACAACAACGTCAAGCCTTTGGGCTCTGAAACTACGGGCCGGGCCGAGGACAAATACACATGCGTTAATCGCACGTTAAAATAATTAGTGGTGTTAAAAAAAAATTGCGTTAACTTGACAGCCCTAATTTTAACCGTTACTTACTACCCAGAGCTGAGATCATATCACGCTGCTTTTTGATCCTACAGTGATAAGTCATTTAGTTTCCATGGTATTCGAGAGAGGAATTACATATTCTAACTGTCATCAGTTATTTGCGTATACATTGTCCAGCATGGCCTTGACTCATGAGGCGCTTTCACACCGGAGTACTTTTTCCAGTATAGTTTGCGTTCACACCAAAAAAATCCGGAACTAGAACTTAGTTCATGAGAAGCTTTTCACCCCCTTTTCCGTCCCTGCTAGAGAGCAGGTACTTTCCTGGGAGAAAAAGGTTCCCATTTCTGATTGGCTGGGCGGATTGCAAACCACGCCCCGTAAAACTCAAAATAAGTTTTGTGAAGCCGCCATTTTATTTTCCTCACATTAGCATTAGCATTCGCCCAGCGCACAAACAGAGAGAGACTAACTTATGGCAACACAAAAGAAAACATGGGAGCGGTGGAGATTAGGAGGTGTCGGCGTTTCTGGCGATTTACTCGGAAGGCTTCAGTAGAAGCTGCTGGGAGTCCCAGCAGCTTCTTCTGAAGCCAGTCCCCAACTCCGGGGACTTCCGGCCGGGGACTTCGGGTGGCAGTATACACCGTGAAGTTGTTTGCGGCCTGCCAGTAAACCCAACGCAGAAGAAGAAGAAGTGATGTCAGCGGCTTCATTTGCCTAATCCTCCCTCAGGGACTGAATGCGATCTGCTCTTTAGTTCATCAGTTCTGATGAACTAAGTACGGCAAAGTACTTGGTGTGAAAGCGCCTATGGTGGCTAGAACGGCTGAAGGTCACCATCTAGTTCTTTTATTTGTTGCTAACAGGAAAGAAAAACACCTCCATGCTTTTGAAGAGAAAAACTGATGAGTGAAGAGCAGCAACAAAAGAGGCCTACACACAAACCTTCAAATAAACTCCTGTGAGTCATTAATATGGAGAAAAAAACACAAAGACCTTCTCACAGCACCGATTCATAATGCGTCTGTGATTAGGAAAAGCTAAAGCAACATGTCACCTTACATTTATTATCAACAGCAAATCTACTGCTGTGTGCACTTTTAACTACAAATGCCACTCACACGCTCATCTGAGTGTTGTTGACCAGGTACTGCAGGGGGTAGCGGCAGGAGAACCTGTACATCACCTCCTGGTGGTACGTGATGGCTCCTGAGCCGGGGTCCTCAGAGCAGACCATGCCTGAGATGCCGATGTACTGCACCTTGGAGTAGTCTGCAAACAGTCCAGAGCCCACCTCCTCAGTGACCTTGGAGGAACAAGAGTTAGAGTTTGTTGTTATGGAATGTGTTGCTGGACTTCCCTCAGCTGGGAGTTCTCTAGATCACCTACAGTCAGCTGGCTGGAGCAGAAGGTGATTCCCTCCTCTGTGATTGAGAAGTTGAATTTGACAACCGGCGGGTCTGCTGTCCAGTCAGCAGTCCCTTTACACTGGAGTTTGGAGTGTTCTGAGTTGAGGGCCAGCAGGGACTCGTTGTATCCGTTGAAATAGACGGGACACATGAGGATCTGCAGCTGCACCGTCTGAGAGCCACACAGGACCTCGATGTCCGAGTTAACTAAACAGAGAGAGGATGAGAACAGAATCACTTTTAGATTATTTTTTGGCCATCAGCATTCAATTGCTGAAGATCAGGAAAGAGGGAAGAGAGGGAATGACGCGGGCACCCGGCACGCCTTTGTAAATGTAAACTCTAGCAGGTGAGCCCCAGAATCATCTGGAATCATTAAGATGAACTTGACTCTGTCTGTCAGTGTCTGAGTGGCACACTATTTCCTATGTGACTTCTTAAAGAATAGGAATAATATCTTCATTGAGCTTGATCATAATTTTAAAACCATACTCATGTGTTATAGGCGGCGGCTGTGGCTCAGTGGATAGAGTGCTGGACAGTGGATAGAGTGCTGGTCTTCGAATCAGGGTGTAGCAAGTTCGAGTCCCACTGCAGTCAGCATGTTGTTGTGTCCCTGAGACACTTCACCCCAAATTGCTCCTGTGGGGATTGTCCACAGTACTGAATGTATGTAAGTCGCTTTGGATAAAAGCGTCTAACAAATGACATGTAATGTTATAGCTGCAGCTACAGAGGGCTGAAAGAGTTCAAGGTTCAGGATTCTTTCGTGGTCACTCTGTAACACAAGAACATGCTAGTTGAATTCCCTATCTACAAGAAAAAAAACCTTCACAAAAAAAACATTACATTTTATTAATAGTAAATAAATTCTGAATTTTGTTAAAAACAATGTGTATTAAGATACTAAATTAATTTCAATGCAGTATCAACAATTACATGTTTATAATGTTATCCTGTAATCACTTTTTTGTTGTACATATTCACTAACTAAATTAGTTATATAAAAGTATGAGAAATGTGTCATATTACTTTTCTTTTTTTTCTTTAGGTTGTCTCAACTAACTTAAAGTGGACCTATCATGCTATATTTGAATAATATAGTGTAGGACCATACCTATATAAGGCATTTTTATACTTTTTTTTTTTCAAAATACCAAACAGATCATGCATTTTAGCCATGCCTCATTTTGCTCAATTTGACATTTTTTAGCTCTGTTTTTGCAAGGGCAGATTCAGTGAGAACAGCACCATCTACAGGCCTGGCATATGTACTACAGCGTCTCCAGCGCTTTCGAACGGCAATGGCCGTGGCTGTCTCCTCCTGATTGGTGGAGTTGGCCCAATAGCCGTAGCGCCACCGTCCTGACGTCAGGACAGTGTTCAAATCTGGATCCGTTTTTATCAGATCCGTTGCAGCCCCTTTTTTAGAGATTTGGGTATGGAGGAAAATAGAGAGGGTTGTGTTTTCTGACACTTGGTGAGTTCCCTGGAACACCGGGGACACATATTCATGTATAAAAGACGTACAAAAGTGCATTTTGCATGATAGGTCTCCTTTAATTTTTACTTTATATAAAAGCAAAAAACCCATTCAGTAACAGAAGCATTTAGTTACAGTAAGAGTATGTATACCATTTGCAACATTTTATATCTTCACAGAATCCCCCTTCTTCCTACAGGTGATATATAAAGCCAAAGCTTAATTTCAAACTCCCTAAAGCTGTAACACAAAGACACACTCCTCAAAGAAAACACTGAGCTCATACTCATTATAGGTTCAGGAGGAAGAGAGGTGTGAAGGGAAGTCAAACACATGCAGATGAAAGGGAAGGGGCTTCACTGACCCGGACTTCTGAATGTGGACTGTCCAAAGCAGGCATTTTGAGCTCGGGCGACAAGCAGTGTGGCGAGATGACAGGTGAGAAGGGACAGCCACATCGTCCTCAAACTGCTTAACAAACGCATGACAGAAATCAGAAGCACGCTTTCTCCTCCAGCATCCAAAATCTGAAAATACAAAGTACTATCAACATCATGTACTTGTACTGATATAGTATCAACAAATACTTGTACTGCAGTAACATGTCCCATGATATATCATCAGATGACATTACTAAGTTATCAACACTGATTAATTAGTATGTGAGCACAATTTAAATTATTTAAACCTAGCTTTAAATATTTCATTTACATTAAGCTTGTCCTAATCAAAGTATTCCTTCAAATTTCACCAGAGAAATCTGAGTGGCCATGAGAGGATTCTGGATGGAAGAATCTTTATAAGGGAACCACTGTTACTATACTTTATTAAATCTTACCATGTGTATTCCAATGGTTTTCTGTCAAATCTGGCAATAACATTGTATCATGTTATATCTTATATAAAGTTGAGTGAATCTATGTGGTTCCCTTCTATCACTGCAGACATGAGTGATATAAGGAATCCTAAAACTGTATAGTAAAACATTTCCCTATGCTTTAAATCCTACATCACGTCCTTCAACAGTGAATACTAAGCATCAACCAGGGGAATTCATATCATATCATATATATGGTAAAATAAAGACGACTTTAACCAGTATGTTACTGGTTAAAGTCGCCTTTATTTTTGTTATGTTAACAAATAAAAATGGGTCTTTTAAATGATTTCAAATGACAGTCTCATGAGCTTGCAGTGTAACTGCTAAGCCACAGAAACATCCTTCATGTATTTTGGATATTCTCCCGGGATCTGTTTGCAGGAAGTGTATGTGGAGCATATGCTGTACCAGGAATAATCCTCTCATCGCTCTGACACTGTGTGTGTGTCATTAATCCATACTGGAGGACAGCCTGATGGGTTTTTGACGTCATGGTTTTCTGGTTAATTTTTGGCTTAAAGCCTTAAAGCAATATGCACAATTTTAGAGTAATAATGAGAAGCAGCACAGACCTTTGTAGACTAGCTGTAAGAAGTGACAGCTCAACAAAAATATACGTTCATTATAATATAACCAACAAAAGACAACACTGCATGCTGCAAGATTTCTCTTTGACACTGAAGCTTAGAAAAGTGATTTCTTACCTTACTGTATATGGATTGCCACAAAGTGTTGCTCCCCTTCGTTCCCTCTGTATATCTTATCTGTATCTGCTGTTACCTTCACAACTGTCTGCCATTCATACTGACCCCCTTTCCATCTAAAGAGTCCTCAGCAAGCCCTCAACATAAAGGGAAGGTAGGAGAGCAACACTAGCTGGTTGGATCATCTGACAGACGTGGAACAAAAGGGGAACCTATAGAGTGTCTTTGCTTTAAATCAAGCTTGTTTTTAACTACAATCATTTGTAAAGCAAGTGTCACAATGTACCCTATATATGGGTGATTTATTATGAAGTCTAAAGAGGAAAAGTGTATAATTAGAAGGTCATTATTTTATTGCTTCTTTTGAGCTGATAAATACGTTATAATGAATATAAGGATATTTGAATTTACTTTGTCTCAGACATGATACGGTTCTATTTTAACAAAATCTCTTATGGTACAACTGCCAGGAATAAATCCACAGGAAAACAAAAAACCCAGATATTTTCAAGTTAACCTGTGATGAAGACATTACAAACCCAACATAATAACACTTGCTTTCATTTTTATACAAGGGCCACTAAAAAAAGACATGTGATTAATTATGGTCTGCTGAAGGGACTTTTTAGTTTCTTCGTCACATGTGCCCAGAGCTACCACTCTTTGTAAAGAAAGGACATCTCCTGCCCATCATCTCAGACTGGAGAGAAAAGGCACACCCTGCCAGACAAAACCTACAACCGTCACCTGAACCAACCCCCCCCACATCCCCTCAGGAACCCTGAGACCTCCTAACAATGACGTGGAGATAAGCTTACACAAAAGTCCTATTTGTTCTTTTCCTCATTCAGCAGCAATAATTGTATCAGGGGGGCTTGTTTAGAGAAAAGTAACCTGAGTTCTACGTTCTTTTTTTTATTACATGTGATTTGTTAGACGCTTTTATCCAAAGCGACTTACATACATTCGGTACTGTGGACAATCCCCACAGGAGCAATTTGGGGTGAAGTGTCTTGCCCAGGGACACAACGACATGCTGACTGCAGTGGGACTCGAACTTGCTATCCCCTGATTCGAAGTCCAGCACACTCTCCACTGAGCCACAGCCTCCCTCGTTCTCTTAATCCTGTGGGCTACAGCTTGAGAGGGACATGATTGTACACATCATTTGTGTGTTTCCACATAAACTGAAACACTCTCATGATCCATGTTTAACTCAGATGTGGAGCAGCTGTATTCAAATGTTTTTATACCGTGAAGTGTTTTCTTGGAAAAAAGATGTGTTTGTCGCAACATTTGGCCCTTTTTTTTTAAATGTTAACTATAAGTCTTTGAGAAAGACTTTGAACGTGTGTGCTCTACATTCTCTGTATAATTGGGATGAGTTTCGGTTAAACCCTGTCACCTAAAGGCACACCAACCAAAATATCCAGTGAACTCCTAACGGAGCGGCTCCTTTCTGTACATGGCAGTAACAAGATCTGCATCATATCAACATCTGTTGAATATTAGCCTTCCATTAATGCCTTCTCCTACATTAGGCGCGTTCACACCAAGTACTTTTCCCACAGTAGTTCATGAGAACTTTAGTTCATGAGAGTTCTTTTAGTTCTGATGAACTAAAGCATATCACGTTCACACCAAAATGAGTTCCTGGGGGTGGATTAGGCAAATGAGCCGCTGACGTCACTTCTTCTTCTTCTGCTTTGGGTTTACTGGCAGGCCGCAAACAACTTCACGGCGAGTACAGTAGGTGGCGGTATGCACCTTAAAGTTGCAATCCGCCAAAAAAACCGAGAGAAGAAGAAAAAAAACTTCCGCTTCCGCTGTATGCTTCTGTTTACCTTCCGACCTCAGTCAGACACGCTATGGAGTTGACTGAAGTTGTGGTTTTGGTGCTCGTGTTACACAGCTTCGTAACTGAGTTATTTAAGCCAATAACTCTGCCACAAATACAGATCGACCATTCAAATGCAATAGCAATGCTGATTCGGAGGCGAAGGCGGTTAAGAAGCCTTAACAAAAGGACTGGACGGCGACAAGCACACGCTCTGGACATGTTTCGTCGTAGGACAGCTGAGGAGGATGACCGTTATCACGCCCAAAGAACAGCAATGGTACGTTCAGTAAATCACATTAATACTATCTAATGTAGGATTTATGGAGTTATGTAGGGCTAATTTGTGTCTTTGTATGTGTTCCAGATATGCGAATACTACGGGACGCGTCGTGTCCCGCGCTCTCTCTGGGTGAACAATAGAACATCGGCCTGGTGGGAGAAGGTGGTGCCAACGTACACCAATGTGCAGTGGATCAAAGATTTCCGAATGTCCAAGTGCTCTTTTCAACTGCTCTGTATGCGCCTGGAAGCAACGTTGGGGAGACGCAACACCAACTACCGGGAGTGTGTACCCGTGCCTAAAAAAATCGCCATAGCACTGTGGAAACTTGCGACCAACTCTGAGTACAGGACCATCTCTCATTTGTTTGGAGTCGGCAGATCTACGGTGTGTTGCTGTGTGCAGGAGTTCTGTTCCGCTGTTGTGACGCTACTCCTTCCTGAGTTCATGCCATGGCCGAACTCTGAGAAGTTAGAGGAGATGGCGTTATATTTTGAGGGCAGATGGGGTGTGCCACAGTGTGTAGGTGCAGTAGATGGATCACACATCCCTATTCTGAGACCAGAGGAATACCACAACGAGTATTTCAACCGCAAAGGCTGGCACTCGGTCATCCTGCAGGGTGTTGTGGATGGTAAGGGCCTCTTTTGGAGTGTTTTTGTTGGCTTACCAGGGAGCATGCATGATAGCAGAGTGTTCAGCTTGTCATCACTGGTTAGTTGTGTGGATAGAGGTGGTCTACTTCCTCATGTAACAAGGAATATTGGTGGACATGATGTGGGTTACTATATCCTTGGTGACTCAGCCTACCCCCTGCAAAGATGGCTGATGAAACCTTTCCAAGGAAGGCTCACACCCCAGCAACATGTGTACAACCGCAAAACAAGCCGAGCACGAGTGGTGGTGGAGAACGCTTTTGGCAGACTGAAGGGCAGATGGCGGTGCTTGATGAAGCGAAACGACTGCAACATGGACAATATCAAAATCCAGGTGGCAGCATGTTGCGTATTGCATAACCTGTGTGAGCGTCGTGGTGATGAGTACAGGGAGGAATGGACTGCCTTACCGGCGACCCAGCTTGATGGGCCAGCGCCAGACATTGTTGAGGCTGGGGGGCAAGACACGCGCACAGCTCTTATGACGCATCTGAACAACATGTAAATTGACAATAAAGCTGATCTTTTGTACTTTTGGTTCTCTCTTTTATTTACCCCAGTCAACAGACAAAATTACAATAGTGCATACACACCTTAGTGCAAAGATAAAATGTCAGTATCAAAACAGTACTCATACTGTATATTTGTATATTAATGAGTATATTATTATGTTGAATGTGTGTTAAAGACAATGGGATGAGGTTGAAGGCTCTTAAAAAAGCTTTTGGATACCATCTTTACTGTGATAAATACATACATGTTAAGCATACACACCTGAAGAACTACGTACGTGCAGCAGATCATCTTCACTGTGTGTTGTCGCCCAGAACCGCACCATACAGGTGAAATACTGAGTAGAAATACTGTCAGCAGAACAATGCACTTCATCAGTCATGACTTTTCAATATTTATAATAGTTTTTAAGTACTTTAAAATAGCTAAGTAATACTGAGCAATGATGACAACCATTCATATTTTTTTGTTTATTACAAATTAAAGTGTCTTGATTAAATGATTGTAGAATAAGGATTTTGGACGTGTGCCCTGCAGCCATGAATTGCATTAAAAGCAGCAAGAAACTTTGAATTGATTTCATTT